AACAGACATTTACAGAGTACCTAGTAAGGGCCAGACACATGTGAACATGTGACAAAGAATCTGAATATAAAATGTGAAATTCAACCAAATTTTTTGGTAATTGATCGCATAAGTATCATGTCTCCATGCTCCTCAACTCATAGCCCTCATTTAGAAGTAAGTTTTCTGTCAGTAAAATGTGAAATTAAATTTAAAACTTAAATATGATCAGAAAGTCTCAAAGGTGGTCAAAATCCCTTGAGCTCTCCAACACCTATAAGCGAGTATTTCCATTCAATGAAGGAGGAAGAGGAGAGAAGAGTTTTCTCTTGTGAGTTTTTCACTTTCAAAAGTGGCCACCTACCCTGAGGTTACCAGCCCCAAAATGTTTAGGTTCTTTGTCATTTAGGCCCTTCCCAGCTAGAAGTAGAGTGGCAAGTGCTTTAACAAATAGAAGTAGATTTTGCACAAACAAGCAGTGAGATCCAGGTCCTTGAAGACCTAACACCCAATCCAAGACCCAGGAAGAGAAATGTGAGTCCTAGATGCACAAAGGGTAGCCTGCATGGTGCCTGACATTTTAAGTTGGCTGGAGTGTGGACCTCATGCTAATGCTGTGCTTTTCTTATTCACCAGGTTAGTATATACCTGGGAGCCACTGGAATGAGCTTAATAAAATATGACTTGTACTGGGACAGTAAAACTTGTATGATGCCTAGAAAAAGGAAAGTAGAAAGACTTGATATCATTGATATGTTTTAAGGCAGGGAAGGAGATACTATTTAAAGAAAATGACAGACGAGACTGATGACAACAGGTACAGAGAATATTTAGGAAAAAGTGAATTTCTACTTGGCTTTGTGAAATCAATCTTGGTAACCTAAGAAACATCTCTAACATGTCTCCAGCATGTTTCATTTACTCTTTGGACTTTATTGTTTCTCAAAACACATGAGCAGCTTGTGTCATGGGAAATATTTGTTGTCTGCCCCCATGGTCACTTCTTGCTTTGAAGGATTTCCCAAGTCATTATTGGGATTTGTCTGGATATTCTATTTGGACATATTCAATGGCTGTGACCATCCTAGGGGTCACAGCCCACCAGCTATTAAATGCTTCTTTTTCAGGTAGGGGGCTAGATTGTTGAACTGCCACACTGCACTGACTTCTCTTACATCTTCTCCAAATCTTCCCACCTCCTCAGTAATCCCTGAAGAGCTGTGTATTTATGACTATTATTGATATCCTGGGTCCTCAACCTTAATGACTCCCTTAGTTTAGATCTACTGGGTTCTTGGGATCACTCATTCTCAGATGTCAGTGCCTTTAAGAAGGTATCCCAGGAAATGAATGGAAGAGGAACTTCCATTTTCTGTTGTGCAAAGCAAGAAGTTGCCTGAAAATCCCACCTTCTGATAAAAAATACTGCTGGAAACTGGTTCAGTCATGTTATAAAATGGGTAGTCTCTTTTTTCACCTGATACTCTGAGAACAATATTTCTCAGAGCACAGATGTTACTGAAAAGAAAAAAGAAATCTACAATCAAATAAGTCTGGGAAATACTGGATTAAATTAAATTGGCGAGCTTTCTTTCTTATATGACTTTTTAGATCCTTTGATCTGCTAATTGCCCCAGGAAGCTCGAAGATAGAGTTATAATACGGAGCAGTTTCACAAAATTCTTTGCCCAGAGAGTCTTTGTTTCAAGGCTTTCCTCATGGGACTAATGCTCTAAAAGTTACTTTGGGAAATGCTAGTCTAGACTTACAATACTTGGATTCAGTTTCTCTTAAGGAGCAAGAAAAATCACAGTGAAGGAGAAAGGAACATGGAAGAAATGGAAAAAGAACATAATCATGTAAGTACCTGGCAATACTTAAATTGAATTACCTAAGGAAAAATGAGTTTTTTCTGGAAAAGTAACAAGGCAACTGATTTTTCCTATTTCTCCACTTTCATGTGTTCTGATCTCTTAACAAAGCTCAAGAGGCAATATCAACATTTTGTAGCCCTTCTCCCATAAGTCATTGTTGGTCAAGTCTTTAGGGCCACAGGAAGTCCAGTGTTGGAAGATTCACAGAAAGGGAATCAGGAATCCCTGGAAGAGACCTTTCCCCTTTAAGTCAGGTCAGCTAACACGGGTACGTTATGAACATTTAGTTAAAATCTCATCCACATCACCCCATTATTAGGACTCTCATGCTTTCATATGGCTGTCATTTTTCTCCTAAGAAGAAACATATACTCATATGTACCCTAGATGTATTAGTGTATGCGGGCTACGCAATTAAGTGTAGGATTTGTAATCAATTGGGAAAGATAACTATTGATAACTATTATCCATTGATAACTATTTTATTCTGGGACTTAGATTGGTAACAGTACATATACTGATATACTAGTTGTTGATTACCAAATCTGAAATCTTCAGCACAGGGGAACGTATCATTCCACTAGACCTGTGATGCCCAGTCAAAAGGGGTATCCAGCTCAGGAGATACAGCCATCTCCAACACTGGTGCCAATCTACTCTCACACTAGGGTTCCTTGCTTAATCTCTCCTTCTCTAATTAGAAGAGTCTAGCAAAGGAGCCTTACTGACTTGATGACTTCAACTTAAAACCACAAAAATACCCTTCTGGTCAAGAGTATTTTACTTTCACAGTGAACCCCACTACAGAATAAGTTTCTAAGGTATGGGCCCCTAATTAAGTTGGAGCTACCTTTTATCTGTCTTATTCTGATTGACATGAACCAGATGACCTGGATTCTTATTCTAGGACTAGACAGCAAATGCCTTGAAGACAGGGGTTCTGTCCATCATGCTGTTCCCCAAGTGCCACATCATGGCTGCCATGGAATTAGGTTAGGAACTCGGAACAGAATTCCAGCCTATTCACCCACTTCCTGGGCCCCGGCTTTCTCATCTGGAGAAGGGGATGAGGTTAACTGCCTCTATGCCCATCGGCTGCTTAGAGTGTTCACTGAGATGGTGGATGTGAAAGTGAAAGGCCATCACCATCTTCCTAACAGTAGTAGTGAGAAGCATGTGCCAAAGGTCTCAACAATATGCCTTAGCCAGATACTCTTCAAGGAATGCTAACTCTTCTGGGAAGGACACCACCCTGTGACAACCTCTAGTGTCGGTGGACAAACATGAGAGTCAACCAAATAGACGAGACACCCTAGTTTGTGATCACAGCTTTCTGGAAAAGTAGCAGGAGCCTAGCTTTTGTAAGAAATATCATTCACAAGATGTGCTCTGGTGCTTCATTCCCAGTAGAACATATGAGCATATGTGTCTCTATGATGAGACAAGCTGGTTTGTTATCTCAGCAGGTCCCCGGGTGACCCACTCCCCTGACTTGGCTCCAAATCCTTCTTTCTACTCTTAGGGTGCTCTCTGTTTTTCTCTCTGTTGGGTTTGAGTAGGGGAACTCAGGATGGTCTTCTAGCATGTGTGGCTCAGAAAGAATGGCCAAAGTGGGGACTGCAGGCTCCCACCAATAAAACCTCATACTCTCCCAATCTGAGAGAAGGCCAAGGAGAAAAGGGCAGGGACCAGGGATGAGAATGAGTTGTTTTAGTTAGCAGGATGCCAGGTCTACTGGGGCAGGCAAAGGTGGGGAGGTGGTAGTGGTGGTGGTGGTGATGGTGAAGGGTGATAATTGAATAAATAAAACCAAAACAAAACCAAAACGCAGACATACAAGATAATGACATGAAATTGACACCGTTCTCCATATTTCAGATCTCCAAATCAAGAGCATATTTTGGCAGCTAAAACATGAAATCATGCCCTGTCTGTACTTGGCTTCAGAAATCTAAATTATTTCTATGTGAACAGCTTCAGCAATGTTGGGGTCTCTGAGGGCAAAAGCTTCCAGGTACAAAGGTCAGGTCAAGCTCAGTGCTGGCTGCCTCGCTGCATAGCTCCCAGGAGAACTTCTAATGCTGTGTTCTATATAAACAGCTCCCCCAGGACTTGTACTCCAGGTAAAACAACTTGGAAATTTCAAATCTTAACTTCTTTGGGACGCTAGCAACAGGAGGTGAAAAGGAAACAGAGCCACCTGAAAAGTTTTAGGAGCATCACAAGTATCTCCTCCCCCAGCAAACAATTAAACTGCCTCTTCACACAGGTAATTCTGACAAGCCCTCACCCTGCCATATCCAAAGAAGTGCATACTTATCCAGATGGTTCTATTTTGTTACCTATTGCTCCCATCTATGGAAATGTATCAGTTGCACTAGGATCACCAAAAATGGGGGCAGGGGGAGGCCAGAATCTTAGTACAATGAAGTAAGAAATATTGCTCATATTGACTATATTATCCTGCTAGTTTGCATTTAATTTCCTAATTTCCATAAAATTCACCTTCAAGAGTTTTAATACTAAACACTGTAAATAGTTTTTGCATTTGGTGGGTGAATGTAAATATTGCTGTAAAACCACAGGCGGTTTTGTTTTTGTCAATCCATCTTTTCATGTGCTTTACTTAGTCAAGGGAGGAGATAGGGTCCAAATCAAATAAACCAGACTCCTTGACTTCACTGGCTAAAACGCCAGCAAAACGGATTTCTCTCCTTGTTGTTTTACTCCACCATTAATTTGCATCACTAAAGAATTTTCTAGGAAAGTGCTCAGCGAACTCAAGGCTTCTCTGGTTGCCAAGCTCATGGAAACAAAGTGCTTTCTCTTAAAACTCTGAAAAAGACATTCCAAAGTAACCCTCCATGAGATACCAAGCCAGCAATAGACTACATATCTATGAAAGAAGAAAGGAGGGGAGGAAAGAAAATGCATAACATAAACAAGAAAAGACAAAACCTTAAAGAGGAAGGAGAAAGAAAAACATTTAGATTCCTTGACTGATGGAAATAAATACCAAAGCTATTAGTTTCAGTTCAAAGAACGTATCACTTTATGCTGTTTATTATTTCTTGAGGATTATTTATTTTATCTTAAAATATCTAAAGGGTAAAAGGGGTCTTGGAGGTAAGCAGCGATGAAACTGACCTGGTCCGGAGAGGGCCTGTGATTGGAATGTTGCGACCTCCCAGGAGATCGATGGTGGTGGTGATGGTGGTGGTGATGGTAATGGTGATGGTCCTCATCGTAGTTGTCTGCCATCAACTTCATTCTGTTCTGGGTCTGTGCAGAACAAAAACCAAGGAAGATTCCATCAGGAGCTAGAAGATCAGTCAAAGAGATTCAGGGCATAATTATAGTACCTATAGGGATCCCTTTGTTCCTAATCCAGGAGTTTTCACTGTTAGTCAAGTTGAAACTTAATAAAGAAAGCACCATGCCATTAACTTTGGTGAAAAAAGCTTTGTCACATCCTTAAAGCTATTATGTTACATCTGTAAATGTTAATGTACTTCCTCCTTGTGATTTAAAAGGGAAAAAATGGACATACTCTAAGATGCTTTGCTTTACATTGTCAAGCAATCACAGAGATCCAGGGCGAGCTTGCAATCGCAGAGTACCAACAATTATGACTGAGATTCTAGACGGACACTCTAGAGCAAGCTGGAGATGGAAGTCTTGGATGGAAAGATGGGAAGGGCCGGATGGAAACACAGAACTACAGATAGACAATGGTCTCACAAGACAAGGCAGAGAAATCCACTCAAAAGCTGCCAAATGCAAATATACTGATGGAGATGGTTTACTGCTGTGATGACTTCTTGGGAAATGGCTCTCTATGGACATTTTAACTGATTTTCTTCCTTGAGGGAACTGAGCCAAAGGTACAAAGTCAATGGGAGAAGAACTGACCACTCTAATTTACAATCCATGATGCCTGTCACATGAGGCAACTTGGAGTCATGGTTAAACCCCCAGGGCCATAGAAGCGTACTGCTTTATTATGCACGGCAGGAAATGGACCAGTGATGAACTGGCCTGACAGGCTCTCAGAATCTAGAAAAATGCCTAAAGACCACGGGAAAAGAGCAAACAAAATTATCCAGCTCAGAAAGTCAGGAAATATGGGTCTGATGATAGACCTGCCTGGATTCAAGGGATTCAAGTCCTGGCTCCACCTCTTTGCTGGTTATGTGACCTTAAGAGAGTAAACTATAAACCTTAATTTCCTCAACTCTAAAATGGGATTAATAGTGCCTCTTTCCTTGGGGTTGCTGCTAGGAGCAAATGATGTGATGGACTTCAAGTGTCAGTCCGGTAACTGGCAATGAAAGTCAAATGCTGTCATTACTATAGTTACTGCTGTTACTGTTTGCTATAAGACATTTTTCCTCCTTTGTATGTGCCGCTTCCTTTGCTTGCAATGCCTCCCTGGCCCCTTTCTTCACCTTTAACTTCTATGACTGGCTAACTCAAACTATTTACTCTAGGAGCCTTTTCCTGACCCTGTCCTTGAGGCTAGGTGACACGTGCCTCCTGCACACCATGGCTCTATAACCACAGATTTATCCGTCTGTATGTCCATAGACCTTGAAGCTATTTCTTTCATCTGCCTCTCCCCAGAATCTCGCACAGGGCCTAGCAGATGTAGATATACAATACATGCTGCTGTAATGAGTGACCAAAAGAATGAAGGGGCCATGATTTTGAGGGATGCTGCCATCCTAGAGACAAGCTGCATGTTTGTTTTCAGCAGGGAGGGTCACGGAGAGTTGAGGACATTTCATGAGTTGCCATAACAATCCCACTGGTGGCTCAAGATGACAATGAACCAACAGTACTTTCAGAGAGCCAGAAGTCAGGGGTTGGCAGAGCCTCCAACCAGTTGGAGTTTTATTATGTAATATAAATAACACACTGACAATAAAGAAAAGTCTGGGCCTAACATTGTGTATTCTTATAGTATTTTTCACATACAATCCAACTTATTCTCAACACTTTCCCAGGAGCAATTATTATCCTCATTTGGCAGCTAGAAAGGTAAGGTGTAGATTTCAGTCCCGAGAGTCTCTTTCTTGACATAGAACATGGAGATTTTCTGGGTCATCCAATTCTCAATCTCCAGGCTTTTTCCCTCGTCTTGCTGCTAGCAGAAAAGGCAAACAGCTAAACAGGTAGAAAGAGATTTCCCATAAAATGCTTTGGTTCTGTTAAGTTTTGGAAACACCTCACATCCCAATTCTATCTGCCAGAGGATGTCTCATGATTTACTCACTCCTTTTTAAAAAATGTGTACAATATTTGAAAGCCCCCAAAGTGAATGTTAAAAAAAACTGTGTATATGAATAAAAACAATAAAAATAGAGGGAAAGATCCACTTAAAATTAAATAAAAAAATCCCAGGCAACCTTTGGCAGCTGAGAGCATTTCCATCCTTCACTTGTCTACTTAAAGTGTCAGAAGACCCAATGGGCAAGTTATGCTTTGTGAGAAAGAGCAGGTCAGTGGAGCTGCTGCAGACTAAGTACTGAGATTCCCCTTAGTCAGTCTGCCATTGCACATGAGATTCTGAAATTCGGCGTTCACACCTAAAATTCCAGTATTGTCAGGATCCTGTACTTTTGAACTCATGAACTAATAAATCTGGAATTGTTTCTTCTAAATAGAATTCTGAGAGCCTGAGGGGAGCTGTAAGATCTGCTGTGGGCAAGAAGGAAGGGACTCGCTCGAGAATGAAGGATGGAGCCTAAATGAACAAATAATAATTCTGCTATTGTAAACATCGTAATATCCTCATCCTTTGGGGAAGCTCCTGTGATTTTATGAGATTATTTTCTTACCAGCAACAAGCCTAAAGTTCCCTACCTTTGAACTGTATCCCATAAAAGAATGTACAAGCTAAACAAGATGCTATATGCAGTCCTAAATGTGTCTGCTAAAATGAGGTGTTGGAGAGTAGGCATGTCATGGGATAAAGACTGTAAATGAATGATGTCATCTTTCCAATTTGGTGCTGAAATATAAATAAACCACGTTGTTCATGTGAATACCAGATCTGGGGGAAATGTACACAGAGCAATTGTGAGCGGAAGAGGCTTCTTTTGATTAGTCTGGGCTGGAAGAGAAGAGTGTGAAACAGAGATGAAAAATGAGAGTTTGGTCTGATACTCTAGATCGTTTTTATTTATCTTGCTTGTAACATATCCCCTAAACTGTGACCAATTTCTTACTGGCTAGTTGCTGGTGTTCTCTCCTATAAAAACAGTTTGATCAATCTTGATCCTTTAATTGTCAAATTTAAAATGGATCTCTTAAAATTTTTTTTTTTTTTTAGATCTGCACTACCTAGCTTCATCCACACCCAATTATGTCGGTTTACACCTAAACAAGGGTCTGGAAAGAAAAGAAGTCACAAATAACACTCCCTAACAGTCAATGAAAGAAAAACTACAGAAATTTGTAACAAGGATTGGACACGGATACTGTTTGTTCAAATAATTCTAGCCAAACTTACCAGGTGATCCCATATATAATGGTTCACAGCCCTGTAGCCTCAGATGCTTGAGGTGCCCACTGAAAAGCCCGAAGCAGCAAATCTTCCAGGCAGGCAAAACTAAAAACCCAGGAAAATTAATATAGAGTTGGAGAGGGATTGCTTTCCACAGCACAGCACTTGGGAACTCAGGGACTCATTTAGCGATTCACTGAGGCCCATTTTTATTTCCTTTGCAGTGTCTACCAAACTGCTGACCAGACACTTTTGCCTTTGGCTAACTGTGTTATGCTCTTTTTACTATATTATGTCATGACTGTGGAGACAAATCTAATCAGATTTCATTTTCTACTTCCTCTTTCTTCCAGGCGCCACCTTATTTCTCTGGGGCCATCGCCTCCTAACAGCTCTCCTGCCGCACTCTCACCTCCCATTGAACACATTCCATAGCCAGAGTGACATCAGCTTTCTGTTCCTCCCTGGATTCAAGTTCTTGGGAGGCTCCCGCCACATTCAGGAAAATGGCCTGGGTCTTTGACATACTTAGGTATCTTTTGCTAGGTGACTGCTAGTTACTTCCACAGTCATACCTCCCGATCTCCTTGTCCCAGCCTTGGAACATGCTATTCTCTCTCTTCGTCCTGCTCTTCACTCTCTACCCCTTAAACCTGAGTTATGCCCATTAGTTCTCTGGTCTTAGCTTCAACGCCATCATCTCCAGAGATAACTTTCCTACGCCTGCCTCTTCCACTGCTTTCAGCAGAATGCTGTAGCCACTCCCCTGGGTCTCTGCCATCACAGCACTTATCTGAACCAATGGTAACTAACTGCAGGTTCGCTTGGCTTTCTCCACCACTAGGTTGAAAATCTCTGAGGGAAGTACTATGTGTGGATTGCCCTTGCACTCCCCATCTAGGGCAGAGTCTTATGTCTTAGCTGTTAAGTAAAGGTGTGTCAAAGTATATGAGTGTAAAAATGGACGGATGGAGAGGGCACACAGGCTACTGTGGAAAAGATAAGAGGGAAGATGTGAGTCTAGGATGAGCCAGTTGAGTATTTAACTTTTGATGTGATAGTTTAACTTTTCCTGTTTATTTGTTTTTGTTTGTTGTAATTCTTGGGAGTGGCAAAGGCAGAGTATGTGCATAGCTTTGGAGCTGTTGGGAAAGTCTAATTGATCTTCTTCAAGAAATATCCTATTCCTTAAATAATTGGACCCAGTGAAATACTATACCACCTCCCTGATTACTTACCTCATTAAGAATAAGGGGTGTTGGGGTGTTATCAGTTTCATTTCTTACTATCCCCTAGCGTTTGGGGGAACAGGAGCCTTTAGAAAACCTCTGTTAGTGCCAAAAGTCAAACATGGAAAACTGAAACTTTATCCATTAACTAAAATATCTGATGAACACCATCTGTGAAAAGGTGCCAGATATTCCAACTCTTTTGACATTTCTGAAGAGTTTATCCAAGGAGCTCTTGAAACAAAATGAAAATCCTTGATTGACTAGTAATAGACTCAATTGCCTAATGGCAATATGTAGTGATAAACACGTCGTATTAAAACTGCTTTTAAAAATATTTTAGCAAGGTGGCAATAACAAACTATGCTTTGATCAGTCATCTGGATCAAGTTAACAATAAAACCTTCATGAATATGGTTTAAATAAAAAAAAATATAATAAGATCTGTTGCTACGGGATATGGAGATAATACTGTACAACAGCAATTACAGTTTTATTCTATCAGGCTTTCTTTTCTTTCCCTGTTTCCCACCAGGGAAATCCCA